TGTACTTTGCAGCTGCGTATCTCGACGATACTGCACGCTGGAACGGGACACGCGTTCGCGACGAAAGCCACGGGCAAACGTCTAATTTCTATATCAAAATTTATTATACTCCTTATCGATCGGTACTGAAGATATCGGGCCGGAAGATCGTGCAAGTGGAGAACTATAACCGAACGTCTGACGTGCTATGAATACTCGGAACAGTAGACGCAGAAACAATAAAAGAACACGCGTGGAAACGAGCACGAAGCAGGTGTTTATCTGTCAGGTTTATTCGACGTAGAAAGTATTTGAAATTGCTCGCGGACGGGCATTCTTTCGTTCTTGACGAGACTTGCGGTCGAACTCGAGGGCGTTCGGAGGAAGGACGCAAACCGTGTCAAACGATGTCACGCTCCAGGCATCCGGACAAAAGTCAACGGCGAACGTTTCCTCGGCGATCGATCAAAAACGGGCGCCAGTGTCCCGAATCGGCCATGCAATCGGATTTGTATCGGCTGCTACGTGACGTAAAAAAGTCTCCATTATCCGGTGATTGGAACATCCTGTTTGCGATCAGCGAAAACCGCTCTGGGTGTTCCGCGAACGATTCGGTGAAGGTTCGTTAACCGAAGTTCGATGTTAATATTGAACGAGCGCGTCGTTTCGCCTCTTTAATTTCGACGCGAGCCGCGGACACGCGCGCGCTATTTAATGGGGCAAAATTAAATGGCTACGCGTCGCACGAGCGTGTTCGGTAACTTATTATATTTTCAATGGTCGGCTTCTTCCTGTTGATTATCGGTTAATTAGCTCCATAGAACGCAGCTTCGTTAATATTTGCCGCGCGTGTCGTTGTCGCGTTCCCCGAGTTTTTAACTTCCGGTGCAAGGTGGTTCCGGGAAACTGGGCCAGCCCGTGCGGCTCTTTTCTAAGCGGGCGTACAAAAAATTGACACGGGCAAAAGCTGAATCCCGCGATAGAAACTTTTTTTCAGACGCGTCTGACCATTGCTCGATATTTCTACTTGCTCCGGTGTACAGATCGAAAAATTATCCTCTGCGGGTTTAGATGCTGTTTTCGATTTCGTTAAAATAGGTGACCCGACGCGGAAAGGGTACGTTCGTGTGATGGAAAAGGCATTTCTTCCCCGGCAGTTCGGGTTTTATTTTTATTTCCGAAGTTTGTGCTTACCTCGGTGTACACTGCCGTTCACAATAAGTCGTTCGGAAATTCTAGGCGAGGGTCTGGTGCCCTGGCCGACGGCAGCGAAAGGTAAAGAGAGGATCAAGGGAACTTCATAAAGCGGAAGCTGGAGGGTTGTTCGTACTTCCTCGAACCGTTCGATGGAGGGCGGGGTACTTTACGAGCGGGAGACGCGTTCGAACTGCACGACGGTGTTTCGTGCTCGTTGCCCCCGAGATTCTTTTTTTTTTTATTTCTCTTTCCGTGGAAAAATGGAACAAACCGAATTAGAACGGGTAGCGAGAGCATTTCCATCCGGTAATAAACAAATCGTCGTTGCACGGACCTCCGTTGAAAGAAGTCGAGGAATCGGTAAATAAACAGTGTTTTGAAGGGACAAGAAAACGCGCGGCTACTGCTCGGATTAAGGTTCGCGTTTTGTTGGGGAGAACGCGCGATAAGAAACGCGCAATAACCCTCTCGCGAATTGTATCGTGATTCATTTAAATGGGGACACTCGGCGCTTTTGAATAAGCCCGGGACGAGTAGCGGTACGATTTTTATTTCGTCTTTTGTTCGTCGAAACAACGGGCGAAGAAAGAACGCTGACGTCGTCGGACAGGTCTTAACGAAGACTCGAACCAACCGCTGTAACATGTAAATTACGAGTCTCTTTTATGTCGCTCGCGCTTCTTCGACCCTGGAAAACAAGGTTAACCCGGAGCATCAAGGCTCGTGGCTGATTCCCAGTCTCGTCGTCGCGTTTATTCCAACCAGGGAGTGACGTTTTCCGACGTTACATCGGGGCTTCGAAAAACCCTTGAAAACCACGACGCGCAACGCTTCTGACCGCGTGCATTATTTTCTTTATCACGGCCGAGATTGTACGGTTCCGTCTTAAACCCGGAGCCCCGAGGTGTCTCGTGCAAACAGCCGGTATTTTCTTTCCGTGGCTTCGAAAGCTTGCAAGGTTTGCTCCGGCAACACTCTGTAACTGGATTTCAAAATAAGAAGCGACGCCGTCGCTCGCCTGTCGCGTCAATTATCCCACGTAAAACATTCTCGATGCGAGGGATGCTTATAAACACTCAGTGGATACGTATTGGTGAGCTTTGGAAAGCACGAGAAAAAGAAAAAATTAATCGTTGAAGTTCATTTTCCCATCGAAAGGGTTTACAATTGTGTTTCTTATTTCGAATATTTGAAATTGTTCCATCCAGTCTTGAGCTTGTGATCTTTGAGCTGTTTTCCAAGGCGACAAAGTAGAAAGCCCCCTTAAAAGACCACTTTGGATTCATCGTGAAAGTTTCTGGTGGACGATCGAAGTTGGAACAAGAATCGACAATTGTATAAGCAGTGCTACCGGTAACCCAGAAGAAATTAGTTTCTCTGATATTCAATTTTAATAGCTCGTAAGACCGCAACGAGGGGCATTTATTCTCCTTCGTTTTCTCTTGCTTTCCATCTCATTGACTTCCTACCATGCTCCAGGGAACTCCGTTAAAGATTCCTCAATAACTCGGCTCTCTGAGATAACTTTGAGAAGAAAATTGTTGCGCACGGAGGAGCGATAAAACAAAGAATCGAGGCACAATGGTAGCTAATTTCGACGGGCGAATGCCATTAATTGCCAATAACAGTTGTTCATTGATTCGCCGTCGACTGTTTATTTATATCGACAGATACGTCCATAAAATTTTTAATTAAATCGATAGCACAGTGCAATTCTAATCGCAATAACAATTGAATGTTTTTTACCTGTATTATTATTGCTATTAAAAGAAGTAATATGCGAGGTAGAATAAAATAAAAATATCGCTTGTAAAGGTAGTAGAATATGTAACGTCTGCTCTGATGCGAAAAACTGAGATAGAGATAATGAAAACGCAAGGATTTTCCCCAGTCTGTAGGAGTAATTCATTCAGCGTATCACTGTTTCGTTATAATGTCGTTAAGTTTCGCCGACGCAGTATTATAATTCAATTAAATTATACGTTCATAATCGCGCGCTACATCGACCACAATTATCGCGTTTTCGTAACTCAATTTGCCGAATTACTTTCCCCCATACATCATTTACTTCTTGTTAATTTTCAGGCTTTTCCCGGCTCGAGATAAAAAGCTGCTAAGCTTTTCTACTCGTTTTTTATACCCGTTCCTCGTTTGCCGTAATATATTCCTGCCCCGTTGCAAAGGCTGGTGGCTGTTTCATTGAAACCCGTACGTCTCCCCGTTGCACGGAATGTTTCTAGAACGTTGCTAATTGTAATATTCGGAAAATGATACGCGAACGTAGCTCTAGAAATGTTTCCCGCACGTATAATTATTATTATTAATATTAACGAAACGGGGAGCAAGATAGGAAGAATACAAGACGCAATTAAATAATTCCATGACGCACGAACGTTTCTCCGTAAAGATATTTGGATGTATAATTTGCTCGCGAAAGCGTGCATCGGGAACGAGTAATCAGGAGGTTCGCGGATGCGCGAAATATCCGTCGGTGACGGGCATCAAAAATCGAATACCCAATTTAATGGCAGCGTTTCATTCCCGTGTTTTTACGTATCTGGGCAGGAAATTACCGTGCAGCCGCATCGTAGCGTATCGTTTCGATGTCCGTCGTTCGGCGATCAGTCACAGTTTATACAGCCAATGTTTTTATTGCCTGGATAGAATTTGATTTACATGCGAGGGAATCGAGCGCGATACGAACAGAGTTATTTCCAAGGGAATTAAACGGACAAAGCCAAAGACTATGACACGGATACACAGGACGTCGAAGTGAAATGTTTACAGGTGTTCAGGGCACTCGATTCCCAACGAACTAAGTGAAAACTAGTTGATCGATGTTGTTTTTTAACGTTACGAAAAGACGAGGTCTCTTCTTCGGACACTTTGTAAGCGTCAATGAAACTTGTGTTCGATACCGCGTGCTTCTTTGTCGCGTATTTTATCCAAAACGGCAGACAAGGCGGGACAATGCGTTTCCCAGGAACGAAATTAGTGCGCCGCCGGCTGACAGCCTGAATGTACACGTTCGCGGGACATATTGTCGGCGGTAAGGCATTGTGTTTGAACGCAATTAAGTGCATCTCATTCAGCCGCTTGGTCGCGAATCGATTTGCGACAGTTAGCTTCGCGTGTCGTTAATGGCTGGGATTTCAATCGTGTTCGGCCTTTCTTCTCGTTAATCAGGACCCTCCCCCGCTCGTCCCACGCATTCCACGGAAGATTTTCGATCATCCTGGAAATATAATAATCGTTTCGCTGACGAATCGGATTGTCAATCAGGGAACGTCAAGTTCCGTGAAAAACATCGGTCGCCGCGGAGTCGCGGGGCGTCGTTCGCCAACCGTGCATCGGTTTTCGATTTGGGCTACGAATCCTCCGCGATCGGATCTCTTCGCGGCTGAGCGGGAAGTAATTTGGGACAGACATTATCCGGGGCCGCGTACCACGCGTAATAAATTGAATCTGCCGGGCCGGCGTTCATTGTCACGGGATCGCGACGAAATTAATTTTCCTCGAGGATACTCGGCCCGTTTCGAGCAATTACGACGGTTGTTAATTACTCGTTGTTGCGTGTCTTCTATCGAGGATCGTTTTCCAAGAACCCCTCTTTGGGAGAACGACGAACAGTTCCGTATGACAAATCGTTTTCCCGATCCGACTTCCTGACCAACGGGATACCGGTTTCAAGAAAAAGCCACAAGCTGTTCGATAGACTTTTTATTAATCGGTGCAACTGCAACGAAATAAACAACGCCGCATAACAGGAACAATGTAGAGGCAAGAAGGTATCTTTGGTAGCAAGTGGGACAAGAAAGCGTATTTTAACGATGGTGGTCTCCCTGGTGGTCGTTGCCGTTGCTGTTGAAGACACGGGCGAAAAAGCCGTCCTTTCCGGCATGATATTTCACGGTTCGAACGTTGCCGCCTGGTTCTTTCACCGTGTATTCCCCGACGACTTCTTTGCCTGAAACGGATCGGTAATTTATGCAACTTCCTGCCTCTGGCTTCGAATCGGAGACGGACAAACAGTTTCGAGTTTCGTTTGGTTACCGAGCGAAATTAGCGGAAAAATTGCTGCCTCGTTACGCTCTGTCGTGAAAACAGCCGCGATACGATCGAGCCCGCTTTGAACGAACAAATTGCAATTTATGCGAGCCGGATAACGAGAGGACTTCCTTAATGATTCAACAGAGATCAATTTGTAACTTCATCCCGGGAAATTCAAATACATCCGGGGGCTAACGAATAATTTTAATCCACCGTCTTCGTCGGAAACGAAATAAAACCCGAGTCTTTGCGCAGTTTGAATGGGTAAACTAATTGCAACGAAGAATCCCCGAGGCTTAAATAGCTCGTTTCGATGCGGATCGATTAGTTGCGTGTCTCTGAAATTGCGGGACGCGAGTCGACACGGCGAAAGACATTGTCTGCGGAGTAAATAGCATTCATCGTCGGAACGCGGTTGGTTAGCGAATTAACATAGCAAAGCGAGGGGCGGAATAGTTTCGTCAAGAGTGACATGATATCTCCCGATGATTTCCAAAGGAAACATAATTAGCGAAGCCATCGAGCGTGTGCAGCTCTCGTCGCTGCCTCGCATCAAACGTGTCTCTTCTCGGAAAATTAACGGCCAGCGATTTTGATTTTCCCCGGTTCGAAACGGATCCTTTCGCGAGCTGCAATCAGCCGCGGTTGAATCACCGCGTTCCCGCGGATACCAAGACTCGCGTAATTACTTCTCCCGCGTAACGTTACGATCTTGTTAGGTCTATTAGAGAGCCGAATCTAATTCGACGACAGACTCGCGAACGTTGGAAGCCCTTGAAGGAGACGCGAGCAACCTCTGAACGGAGGAATTTCCATCCGTTTTTCCGGGGACACCGTCGATTTACTCAAGAAACGACGCAAAAGTTTCCATCCTTCTAAGCCAAACAATTCGATCTAATTTTTTGTTTCGTTTGTTTCAGATTCATCTGGGTTGCAGATGACGTCAAATTTTGAATAAACAATTGCCAAAGAAGGCACAGTCATCGATAGACGATTATAAGATAAGTAGAATAGTACGCGTTCTATTAAAATACATATTCAGAAATATTTGCATACTTTCGTTTATTTCGTTCGAATGGTATGGCGTGAGACGTTGAAACGACTATGGCAGCCAACCGAAGAGCTCCGGCCATTGAATGGCTCATTATTATGCCATTTATGAAACGTCCACCATAGAAATAACCTTATCTCGCGGAGGAAGGAATTCGCTCGCGTTTTATCCAGTCGTTTTCAATCCTGGCGTGAAATGTATTTCGAGGGCCTAGACGTTTCGATAACAATATTAAAATCACGAAATTCTATAGAGGATTTTGTTAAAATAGAACACCGAATGTGCTTGATTAAATTAATTTTGAATTTTGAATCCGAAGACGGAAAACGGTGAAACGTTTGAAGCGTCTTCTCAAGATGCGTCCTCAGTCTCAACACGTCTTGCGAGTCACTGTATACGCCAATTAGCCGCTGCTGATTCATGATTCCAAAGATCCCAAGAGACAGGACGCTTACAGGAGATACGAGAATTATGCGATTCAAAGCGTGTAATTTGGAATTTCAGCCACGTGTTACAACATCCCTAAACAGAGATCCATTGGTACGGATTTCAAGCTCGGCGTAAAGGTTTCTTGAAACAAATATTAGCTGACCACAAATTTAGATCGTGTTTGGAGCAGCACTGATTCTCGTTGGTTTGTTTTTCAGAGATATGGAAGTATTACCGTCCCTGTGCTCCTTTTGGCCATGATAGTCGCCGGTGTGATGGTCCTCCACGCCGTAGGAGAACTTGTAGTGCGGATAGGCCACGTAATCGTGATGATGGTGGCCGTGTTTGTCTTTCCAGGTGACCTCTTGACCATCGCCTATCACGGGACCGTGGAAATGTTGGAAAGAGTGCGCGTGTCCGGCCTCGACTGTCGCGACGAGCAGCATCGACAACGCCAGAAACGTAGCGACCAACTGCGAATATCGAATTTGTTGTTAGTTATGCGACAGTATGTGGAATTTCCACCGAATTCGCGTGTTTGACCGCGAAATTAATTTTGCAACATTGCCCGTGCCGCGTCGCGTATGTGTTTCGTTTGAGAGTCGAACGAGTTCAGCATACCGGTAATCGGATCACAGGTTATGGTTATTTATGGGTGATCGACCGAAACATTCAGGATAGAATGTTTCGAGCCATCGTTTTATTATTCGATTATAAACCACTTTTCGACGAGTCAGTTAACCCTTTGCGAACGATGGAATATTATTAGCTTCGTTCTATTTTTCTAATTCGAAAACAAAAGAGTTTTCCCGTTCCTGGAAATTTGTTTAATTCGAATCGTAATCGATTGATCAAACGTTTCGATAATCGAGTGATACGAGATTAATGATCGATCGTGCGTTGAGACGTAAGTGAGGAATGGTCGATTGCGCGATGTACACTCACTTTAAAAGCCACATCACTGTCGCGCTCACGCATCGTAGAGCCAGAGGATCGATCGATCGACGCGGGTTTCGCGATCCTCCCAAAACTGAACGTTCAGCGGCTATTGTTCCTTTTATAAGTCCACTTTAAAAGTTTCCCTCTGGTTAATTCTTCTTTGGACCCACGCCCGGAACTTCCCATCGGCGCAGACGTTGCAAAACATAATTATTCAAGCGGCCCGACGCCGCAAAAAGCGTCGCGCGTTCCTCGCTCGAACGAGCATTGGCCAATCCTGGCCCCTAATGGAGCCCGTTGAGAGAAATAATGGGGAAAAAATGGATCGTAGGAAACGTCGTCCGTTTCTTCGGCCAGGTGACACACGCGTATCGATTATGCTCGTCGCCTCTCGTCGCGCACGATAGATCGTGTTACGAGTTTCGACTTTCTTTCGCGGATCGTACGCTCCGTTTCGTCCGACTGCTTGAAATCGCGATTACAGTGGCACGAATATTACGAGATAGAACTCAGATCAGTGATCTATCGATGATTCGATGAAACTCGAACTTGAATCTAGCACACTGTCCGGCGTTTGTAAATCGTTTACAGCGAACTCCAGCTCCTTAACCGGCAAAAATCACAGTTACGATCGGCAAGAAGTGTTTTTTCAACGTTCGTAGCACGATAGAAGCAACAACAGTAATAATCCGGCCAAGGCAGGAAAACCACAGAGGAAGTACCGTTAAAGTCGTGACAAAAAGTAACTCGACCGGCTGTTGAATTCCGCAAATACGTACGGTATATAGCAAGTTCCTGTCTGGACTCATTTTCATCGGGAAAATGGGGCCAGGCAACGAGACAAGGGTCTTTGACGTAAGAACAATGTCCTGTCAACAGCGATACTTCAAGCTTCAATTTTACAGTCGAACGAACAGTGAACTATTTATGAAATAGCAGAGAATGGGAACGTTGCAATTAACGGATCTAAAACATGTCTCAATCAGAGTTACGAGTTTTTAATTCGTTCGGAAACCGATCCATTCGACAAAAGTTGAAGGAGTGAATGTAAAGCGAAGATATCGAGCAACACGATCGTTTAGAAGAAACTTATAGTTACGAGCAAGAAAGATTATCGTTGCTCGTCTTCGAGAGATTCCGCGCCAAGAAACGAGTTATCGTTCGCGAGGGGAACGCTAGATTTTTGATTCCCGCGAGTGGTCGGTCGCGTTATGAACAAAAACCAGCGGATTCCATTTGGCCTGTCGCGAAGGGAAACGGTTCCCGTGGCCGTAGAAACGGGACGTGGAGACGGGAAGAGGACAGATTCTGGCACACGATGTGCTGGAGCGGCGGAAGTGCTCGAAGAGGCGCTCGGCTTTTGAGTTATGACACTTTTTGAGTCGAGGAGTCGCATTGTGAATGGCGCATCCGGGTCCAGCGTAATATCCCAGCTCGATCTTCCAGGGATGGGGCGGCGATAAATCTGCCTTAAATAAGATTTGCCGGCGACACCCTAGCGAAATAAAAGGAACAGAACGACAGTCGAGGCGGGGCGGGGGGCTGATTGGTAATTCTCGGTCCACAGATTACAATAGAACCGCGTCTCGAAAAACGTCGTGTCTTTTCGAAATCTATTTTAGCGCGAGTTTACCAAGATCCCCCTTTCTTAATGAAGAATCAGAAATATGGCTTAAGAGTTAATTGCAAAGTTAGTTTGGAAGCTGCCTCCAAAGTAAAATTTGTTTGTAAAGGATCTTTCGCGACTTTCCCGCTGTCCGGCGGGGTCTTCGTACGTGTTTGAACTATTTCAATTAAGTCTGTCCGAAAGGTCAATTTAGTTTTCAGCCATTTGCTCTCGGCGGGTTCTCGCCCGCAGCTCGAGACGAAAGTCAATATTAATTAATATCGAGGAGCGATTGGTTCCATTCAAATAATTCCCGGGGCATATTAACGGGTTCGATGAGAATCCTGCGCCGTCGGTTTCCCAAGGAGCGGATATCTAATAATTCTTGCGACGCGGCGAGCGAATCTTTTGTCCTGGAATGTATCGCGGCCGTAAAATGTACGCGTCGCGGAGAAAGCTGGAAACGCGGGGGGGATGGGGAAACCGAAATGGAAGCTTAGCGGCGAAGCACACGAGCCGAGAGCTCTGTCCCGCGTGTATGCGAATGATTCCCAGGTAATATCGCGATACGAGCATAGATAGAGGGAAGAAGGCTGAAACCCCCGGGGGTAAATCCCGAGATTAACGTCGTGCTCTCGTTGTCCAGATAATGCAGTGCTGCACTACCTAAGCCTGTTCGAGTACACGGTATATTTCGTCTAATCGAAAAACATTGTTCAAGCAATACGCCCGATGATCTTGATCCGATCCACGCGGGCACGTGGCGATTCTACGTGGAAAAATGAGTCGAAAGGAACGAACGAAGTTTCTTCCTCGGAGCCTTCGTTCTCGAGATAATTAAATTTAAAAGTCGATACCGCTTGGCCGGCGCGTCCGACCATTAATCAGTTCTTCTACTTACGCCGACGTTCGAGTCGATTTTCTCGAAAACGGAGCCCCGAACGAAAAAATATTATTCTTTCTCGTCTGCTTAGTTTTGCGCGTAGAATCTTTGCACGCTTAATCGAAAGCACTTATCCGCGAATTCCCCGCGGAACGACCGTGTACCGAGTATCCCTGGGACAAATTCCAAGGAGATAGTTTCAGCCAGATAAAGACGAATAGTTCTGTTTGTCCGCGAGTTTCAAGGTGCAGCCAGCCCCGGTTCGCTCCCCTTCGCCGTCTCTGTTTCTTTTCGAGGCTCCCTGGGAGCCAGGAACGCGGCAACCCTGTCGCCATCTCGCTTCCCGGGGGCGTCGACGACCGGTCCTCGTTTATAGGTCACGATCTACTCCTTGCTTCAGGGACGAGGAGCGACGACACGCCACCCAGGATACCTCCTTGACCTCCATTTGCGGCTTGGAATCTCAAAACAGTCGACACACCCTCGCGAACCACTCCGAGACGTTCGCTAAACTTCGTGCTGACTTTTGATGCGCGGATTGCGGAATAGTCTAGCGCGAACACAGCGCGATTTCATGGAAATCCCCGGGTAACTTTGCCGCGAAGGGACGGAAAAATATACGAGAGGACGGATTGGTTAACAACGCCCGGAAGGAGCGTGTAAAATATTGTTTCTTTTCTTCGGGTTCTTGGATCGAACGTTCGTAAAGGCTCTAGCGAAGCGTGGCGTAATTGCGTAGCTGGATGATCTTTCGGCGATACCCATCCCCCGCGGTACCCAGGTGCCGGAAACGGATAGAGATTTCCTCTCTCCTTCCTCCCGCGGTATCGGTCCTCGCTAACGAGCCGAAACATTTTCCGGGACCTTGCTAATTTTCCAAGTGTTCCCGATTACGGCTTGATAGCCCGCGCGCCGGGCTCATAGCGGTGCCGTCGGGTTAATTGGTTTTCACGGCGGGCGCTGAAGTTACGGATACCCAGGTCGGATTATCGTCCGCTGTAAACAGTGGTTTCGCCGCGATCCGGTACAGAGAGGTCGCGAACCCGGCTCTCGCTCTGGAAGAAATATCCGCCTCCCTATCTTCGTCGTTATCCGGCTCTCGTCGTTAGGAACTTAATTGCTCGGCCTGTTTGCTTCTCGTCGAGCACGGCGTTTCCGAACGGGTTGGATAAGTTGAACGGATACCGTGAGTGTATCGAGTAACGACAAACGTGCACGCGCGTACCTGCGAGACGCTAAGCCCGCTAGAGAACCTAATTTCTCCGATACGCGTCACTCTGGGTTAGATTGCGTTAGAGACGACCCTATTCGAGAGTCCGAGTATTCGAAATACTCGATATTTGAGCAGATAGTACTTGTTCGTTTCTTCTTCCACAGTTCTGTTTCCTGCAGATCGTATTTTGCACCCAGTTCGGACCCACAAAGCCGATTAGCTCTCGTTGACAGTGTATCTAAATTTCGACAGCTCATTTAACCGGCTTAATCGAAATCGTGTTAGTCTTGTTAAACAGAGGCTAACGGACTACCAAGGCAAGCGAAATTGTCGGTAACATCGAAAACATTTAATAGTATTGTTGCTAATTAAATTATTCGAATAATTTGCTATTGAATGAACGATCTATCGACGTGCACGGGTGCAGTTTCGATTCGTGAAACAAAAATAGTTTAAATGTCTTTCATTACCGTGCTCCAAAAATTTTCAACAACAATTGCAGCGAGCACTAGGTAGTGTTTTCTGTCTGTAAGAAATTTTGACGCTGTGTTTCGGATCGTGATCTCGTAAAATGGATGTATCCATCGTGTAATTGCGAGCATAAGGAAAATTTGTTGTCTTCGATGTATCTGTAATTCTCTGTCAATACGACGTATCGATCCAGGGCTGTTACGAGGGGAACACGCCCACACCATTACGTCCATTATCATGTTTCACAGTCGTTAAAGTGTATTGTGCTTTTAAATTTTCGCCAATTCGAAGTCTAATGCACCGGTGTTCGTTACAAGAGACACCGGTGACCCCAAAATCGGTGATCCCTTCGCAAACAAATCGATCGCCTCGAAGTTCTAAACTGGATTACCTCTCCGAAGGACGCGCAAATAACGGGATAGTTATTTTTTATATTCAAAAACACCTGATACTCGAATTCGACGCTTAAACGTTCAGGATTCACAATGCTATAAAATCGAATGGGGATGAAACGTTTATAGAATAATCCAAGAAGATGGAAAAGTATTGTCGGGTTTGAAGTAGCATAGACGGATGGCGGGAGCTTACAACGTTACTGGGTTTGCGTACGCTCATTCTCGTTGATCCGTGAACACGATAAACTCGAATCCGGAACACGGCGAGGCACAAAGCTGCTCACAGGCGTAATCACTGTCAGGATTGCAGGGGTATTGCGGAAGCATGTTGGAATAATGAATGATAAACTCTTCTCTGCATATTCCGTGGATGGTACGTCTCCCGAGACGCGCGTGTATCGTCTTTAAAGTGCATCGTCGTGGCTGCCGCAACTCGGAGGGCTGCCGGAGAGTACATATGCATGAAGGAGCTTAGGCGCACCCTCCGCCATTCGCATATTTACTTGTTGGCCTGGCTCTCGGCGTACGGACGCCCCGGCATAAGTATATAACTTACAAGATTCAGGGAATCTTTCGTTAGGTCAGCAGGCGAACCGTGAATATATTTTCCTCGGCGCGAAACTGCACACAGAGCCTGGATTCGTTGCTCTCGAGGAACGCAAAACGACGATTACAATTTTATGAAACGCTGATTTCCGACGTTCCATTCGATAACGCGTGGACGAACGCACCCGGCCAAGTGCTGTTTTCGCGGCAACGATCACTAACGCGAAACGCTTTGGTAGCTTCGACGATGCTGTCGAAGACGACCGAATTTACCGCGCAGTAAAATCGGTACGTTAATGTCGCGGGTTACTATCGTGGTGTCTCCGGAATCGTATTTCGCGGATATTGCGGGGGATCGTTCGACGTTTCCACGTCGTCGACGTACGTGCGCGTCCCGGCGATAAATCCATCCGGAACCGTCTTTTAGACTCCGCGTCTCCTCGCGTCGCCACTAATTGGATTTCGCGCGAAACGCTCGCCATCGGTGCTCGAAACAGGGTTAAACGAATATTAAATAAATAGCAATAAATGTCCAATCTATCCGTTTCTCTTTTCGGGTAATTCCGCCCGTCTGGATTTTCGAGTGAAACGAAATTCGTTTGGTAACGGTCCAAAGGGGGATTAAAACGATTCCGACGAGGTCGACGAGAGGAAAGAAAGGGGTAGTAATCGCGAGTCGATTAAACGCGCGTAACGTAACGACGTGGTCGGGGATGGCTCCGGGGCAAGGTGGGAAGCACCGAACAAACAAGCGAGGAAGGAAACCGTAAGACCGAGGGAAGTATCCATCCGTCGACGTCGTCGAGGTAATTCGAACTATCCAGCGAGCGACCGTTAACCGGAGAGGGGTTGGTGGACACCCAGTTTTGTCGCCCTCGGGGCAGCCTGACGGAGAAGGCGAGCAGGGGAGGCTGGATGGCCGTGCTCTGCGGCTGATGCGAGCGGTTGCGGAGGTGGCGACCTACGGCTGTCGCCTGGGGCTCCCCCAATTCATATGCAAATGCAAAAGCGGCCGACCTCCGGGCATTGTTCGCCCTACGGGGGAGTTCCAGTGTCCCCGGGCTTGACTTACTACGCGAATTTCCGGAAAACTCTAACGCGGAGACACCCGCGGTGTAATTGATACTCGCCCCCCAACCCCCAACCCCCCGTCACGGACCACCGGCCCCGCGCGACGCCTTTTTCCCTCGTCGACGACCGAAAAAAGGAAGGAAAAGGGGACGCTGAGAATCGAAGGAGACGGTGCTCGGTCCGTGTCGCGTACGATCGTCTCTGTCGCCTCGCCGGGGCCATTGTCGGTCTCGTGCACCGTTTAATGGTTCTCCAGCTTCCCTTTGAACGAACTTCAAACCGCTCCTCGCGCTAAGAACGTCGTCGTCCGGTGAACGCGATGCAACGACGAGAGAGACGACGATCATCCCTCGATCCTCGACGTCGTCGAATTCTTATACGAGGCACCGGGTGTTTTTAATTTTCACCGTTCCCAAAGAGCTCTCGAGGAACGAAACTTTGTCCACCTCCATTTTTGTAAATTTTCTGGCCAGATAACGGTAAGAGCATTTTAACGCTCGCGCGAGCTATTGTCTAGAAATACCCAGAGTTTTATTCTAACCGTGAAAACTTTTATTCGTGTTCTCGTTTACGTATGTACGTACATCAGAGGACGCTGCACGGGAAAAGTATAATTCGATTTCATTCGGGTCGCCTCTGGAGCTTCTTCTAATTATTTCACGCGCGTAATCGCGTGGTTTCGAGCGAGGGCAAAGGTAACGAACGTTACACGGACATTTTAGTCTCTCCGAGAAGCACGATGTTTCCACTTCCGTTGCCACGCGCTTCGCCCCGTATCCGATTAGACTCCATCCAATAAATTTTTCGTTCGAATCCCGAAAAGCAACGGTAACTTTATAACTTACTTAACGCCAAGATAATGGCTTCTATCAAATTAAACGAACTTTATTCGTTACACCGTTCAGCGTCTTAATAAATTCCCGTTCGAAAGTTTATTACCCGTTAATCATTGCGCCCGTTCGCCCTTTTGAGCGAAACGGGGAAATTTAATCAGTGTTTTAGAACTCTTTAATATCCAGGAATAGTTTATAAAATTATTCCTCTGGCGTTCGCGCGAAACTCGAAGCCGCCTATCGTGTTTCTTCCTTGTAACGCGAATATTCTCTTATTAACGGTATTGCTTGTTGTAATTAATTATACGGTAAGGAGGTTTCCTCGTGTATTGTTTGGAATTGTTTGTTCGAAACAGTACGCGACGCGTTAAACGGAAACCTTTCACCCTGATTGATATAGTTACCAAGAGGTTGCATAAATTTTTTTCGCCCGATTTATGTTGATTATAGTCGAGTTATAATTTACTATTTCAAGCTATTTTTCTATTTTCGTTAAATCATTTGCTCGCTCGCCTGCGAATGAAGTACCTCGTGTTCAAACAAATCAGAGGAAAAGTAGCGACAGCGTCGCGGAAAATGTTCGCAGTAGCGAAATACGTTCGATCTGACACTCCCGATTGGCTCTTGACGGCTCGAATCTGGGTTAACACGGTGCCCATTTCACTCGATAACTCTTTGCGCCGCGTACACAATGCTGATTGAAAAGTCGTCGTCATTAACATATTTTAACGGGCGAGTCGCGCGCGATTATTCGCAAAAATATATATCGCGCGATATTTCGGCGCGAAAGAATCGAAATAACGAAGTTTCCCACCGAAACGCGGTTATCGTCGCGAGACACGCGCATCGTTAATTAAATCAACCGTAACAATACTCCCATTTATTATACTCGCACGGTCCGTGATTTTAAAATACGTGT